CTCTCCCTTTCTCTCTCCCTCTCCCTCTCCCCTTCCCCCTCAGCCTCTCCCTCTCTCCCTCCCTTTCTCTCTCCCTCTCCCTGTGCCTCTTCCTTTCCCCCTCTCCCTCCCTTTCTCTCTCCCTCTCCCTGTGCCTCTCCCCTTCCCCCTCTCCCTCTCTCCCTTTCTCTCTCTCCCCTTCCCCCTCAGCCTCTCCCTCTCCCTTTCTCTCTCCCTCTCTCCCTTTCTCTCTCCTTCTCCCTGTTCCCCTTTCCCCCTTTCCCTCCCTTTCTCTCTCTCTCTCCCTCTCCCTGTGCCTCTCCCCTTCCCCCTCTCCCTCTCTCTCTGTCCCTTTCTCTCTCTCCCTCTCCCTGTGCTTCTCCCTTTCCCCCTCCCTCTCCCTCCTTCCCTCTCTCTCTCTCTCTCCCGCCCTCTCCCTCTGTCCCAATTAAGTGCCAGAGGTTGGCAGTCCTTTGTTAGAACAAATCCAAACAGATTCCCTGGCAAATATTTTTTAAATTAAGTCAAGGATTGGATGCAGAGGTGGCATGCTTGATCTCTCGACCTGATTCCTAATCTGATGGATGCATTCACGCAACACGCAACTTGGAGATGGAATGAAGTCAGGTGCAAACAGTACATTTTATTATTGGGTCATGATATAATTTATGATGATGATGATTGGAAGGGCATTATGATGGTTCAGCAGTTAAAGACACTGAGCTGGTCAGCCAGAAAGCTGACAGCCTGGGTTCGAGACCCTAGTGCCACATGATGGGGTGAGCTCCTGCTCCTTGCTGCAGCTCCTGCCCAGCAATTCAAAAGCATGCAAACACAAGTAGATAAATAGGTGAGAAGGTAACAGTGTTCCGTGCACCTCTGTGTATAGTTATGCTGGCGACACAACCAAGAAAGTCCAGTTGTCTTTTAAAAAGGGCCTGTGGGATGACCATGGAAATATCTTTGGACAATGCTGGCTCCTTTGGCTAAGAACAAGATGAACATTACCTTTATGGTTGATCTCAGAGGGATCCAGAGGTTTAAACTGGAGTTGACAGGTTTAACCATCTATTGAGTCCTTCCCGAGGACCTTGGATGAGCAGATGTCAATGTTTGATGGTGTTAAAGGTCTCACTGCAGGTTGTAAGCTGTTCCAAGTCAGGCTGTCTTTTGCAATTGACTGATGGGGATTTTGCCAATGCCGACGGTGTTCAAGTGCTCCTGATGTTTTGGGATTGCAACCAATGTGCCTATATTATTATTGTTGTTGTTGTTGTTGTTGTTGTTGTTGTTCATTGCACAGTCAGCAAGATGTTTAGAATAAATTTGTTATTTCATGGTGTTAAAGGTATGGTCAAAGGATGTAAGCTGTTCCAAGTGAAACTGCCTTTTGCAATTGACTGATGGGGATTTTGTCAATGCCGATGGTGCTCACATGGTGCTCAAGCTGTTTTGGGATTGACTTCAAGATGCCTATCACTAATGTCACTATCTTTGCTTACTTTTGCCACCATCGTTCTAATTTCTATTTGCAGGTGCAAATGGCTAGGTGCATATAATCCACCAGCAGAGCCAAAGAAATCTCTTCTGGCTTGGATCTGGTGCAAACCTACCATGATGGTGGTACTGGTGATGGGAATATAGACATTTTTATCGGAGAGTAGTTTTCAGCTTTTTATTTTCACCCCCAAAAACGTGTGACATTTTAATTGTGCAGGACAAAAAGCGTTACTCATTCATTTCAATTTTATATTTGGGGTAGGAGATTCAATAACCATAAATTAGGAGTGGATTTTTGTCTGATACCGTCCCATTCATCCAAATCTGCCAGAATAAGTTCTAATCTGTTTTGTTTTTAAAATCTCTTTCTCTCTCTCTCCATCATATGCACACATACACACACATATCATATGCTCCCCCTAGCCCAGCTCACAAAACCACAATATTGTTTGTAAATTCCCTCCCTACATTCAAGGGAAGCTTCAGTCTTTTTTTTTTTTTTTGGTAAATGCAATTTTAGAATGTAAAGATAAAAACTAACGAAGATAAAGCCTCAGAAAGAAAAATAAATAGAATGATATAGGAAGGCTAGGAACACAGAAAACAAAAATGAGAGAAATAAACAAAAGTGTAAAAAGAAAGTGACTTCCAACTTTTTTTTAACAAAAGGGATAAATAGAACTTAAATTCAACCCTTTAGTTTAGCTTGAATTTAGTTACCCTACAGTTTAAGATTATACTATAAATATCCATTTTTCGAATGTTAATAGGGAAGGTTTCAGTATGAATTTTCTCCTCTCTACAAAACGCATTATCTTTTTTTTGTGGTATCTGCTGTGCTCTCAAAACCTCCTCCTTTTTACACAGTCCAAGTTGCTACCTTTCTTGTACAGCTGATTTCCGACTAGGAAACTGTGGCTCCTAGGCCTGAGCAAGGAGGGGTCAAAAGTAACAAGAATCTCCAGATGTAAATATTTGCCCATTGTAGATATTCCTTTTAAAAATTAAGACGTTCTGTGACGAGGTCTTTCTTCTTTTCAGGCACGGCCAATGCCATGGAGTGCTTAAGTATAGTTTATTCAACAAATCACCATTGGCTAGATCTTCTTGAGCCCAAACCACAACAGGGCTTAGTATGATGTGTAAATCCAGGCTGTTAAGTCTTGACGACATCCGCTTTTAAAGCAAGCAAAGGCAGGGCTGGTACTACAAGCGCTGTGCTTTACAGTTTTTATCTTAGGTCAATCATTAAATTGCCATATGCCCTGGATTTATCATAGTATCAACTGATTTCATGGGAAGAGCTTAAATGCTAGGATTATAAAAGGAAGGGAGGGAATGACGGATAGATAGCTGAATGGGTGGAAGGGGGGAACAGATAGACAGACAAACAGAGAAGATAGATGTGTGTGTGTGTGAGAGAGAGAGAGAGAGAGAGATTGAGAGAGGGAGAGAGGGAGGGAGGGAGAAGTTAGGTCAGACAGTCAGAAGACAGATGACATAGATAGATGATAGATAGGTAAGTAGGTAGGTAGATAAATAGGTAGGTAGAGAGACAGATATGGAAGGAAGGAAGGAAGGAAGGAAGGAAGGAAGGAAGGAAGGAAGGAAGGAAGGAAGGAAGGAAGGAAGGAAGGAATAGTAGACAGACAAGATATAGACTACAGGCAGACAGGTAGGCAGACAGACAAAGACAGAAAAACAGAGATTGATGGATGGATAGATGGACTGACAGAGAGACACATCATAGAACTGTAGTGCTATAAAGGAGCCCAGTGTTTCTCAACCTTGTTAATTGGAAGATGTGTGGACTTCAACTCCCAGAAGTCCCCAGCCCACAGAAGTGGCTATCCTGACTCTTAAACCCTCCAGAGACAGAGTAATATGATCCAGCCAAATAAACATATATGTTTTGCTCATATCAACAACAACAAAAAAAATGAACTGTTGAGCATTCTTCTCAATTCTTTGTTCTCTATGATTCTTATTTATAGTTCCCATTTGATTGTCCTTTTTTTAAAAAAAAGCTTCTCATTACAACAGGCTGTTACTTTTTTAGGTAAACAGTAACCTTTTTATTAAAATATACATTGTATCATATATTTCCCCTTTATTAAAACAATAATTGCACAGGGTTACACCTCATTCAAGTTCAGAGTTGGGGTGACTTTAAATAATTTTCTTGGCCACAATCTTGAAAGTGGGGAGCTGCTGCCTTCTTCCAAACATCTTCAACTTCCACTCTACATTACTGGGTTTCCTAGTGGTGCTTCTTCCATCCCTCTCACGCAAGTCTGACCCTTCTTAGCTTTTCAGGTCAGCCAAGGCCGGCTGCTTGCTGCCAGTAAGCCGAGGGTCCAAGCTCTATACCTGTTTATAAACTTAAACAAATGATTAAAAACACATTGCCCAGTTCTAGGCTGTTCCCCACCAGCAGTTGGCAGCACTGGACCAGCGGTGATGATCATCTATTTCGGGAACTGACATCCAACCGGCTTGGAGGAGGCTGGACTCCGCCAGGCGGCTGGGAAGCCCAGGGGTGGCGGGTCCACGTTCACACAGAGGCGCTTTAACCCAGGACTCCGCGCGCATTGCCAGGCGCATCTTTCAAGGTGCCCCAAGACGCTGCCCGCCACCCGTGTGGGTTACAGATAGCGGCCATCCTTCACGTGTGAATCCACACACGCGCGTCGATACGCACATACATAGCCCTCTGCCACCAGTGAGGCTTCGGGAGCAGCTGGCCAGAGGGGGGGGTACCCCAAGCCTCTGCCCACTATCCGGGTGGGGTAGAGACAGTGTCCCCGTCATGTGTGAACATACACATGCGGGTCGACACCCACCCACCCACACACACACACACAGCCCTTCCACTAGGGAGGCTTCGGGAACAGCTGGCCAGTGCGCGGGTCCCCCCAAGCCTCTGCCCGCCATCCGAGTGGGTTAGAGGCAGTCCCCGTCATGTGTGAGCACACAAGGACGCAAGCACACACACAGAGAGAGAAAGAGAGAGAAAGAGAGAGAGAGCCCTGCCAGCAGCAAGTAGCAGCTGCGGCGCGCCCAAGGCGCGGGTACCCCAAACCTCGTCCCGCCATCCGAGTGGGTTAGACTTAGAGGCAGTCTCCGTCACGTCTGAACACCCAAACCCAGAGCCCTGCTCCCAAGCGAGGAGCAGCTGCGGCGTGGCCAACACGCGGGTACCCCAAACCTCTGCCCGCCATCCGAGCGGCGTGCAGACAGAAGCCCGTCACGTGCGAACATACACACGCGCGTCGACACACACACACCCTCCACCCTAGCGAGGCTTCGCGAGCAGCTGCAGCGGCTGCTCGCTCTCCGCCAAGCGGCTCCTCCTCCTCCTGCTGCTGCTGGCCCACCGCCTCCCGGCGCGCCAGTCGAGCCCTCCTCCTCCTCCTCCTCCTCCTCCTCTGCCCCTCCTCGGCTGGAGCCTGGCTGGCGAGGAGGGGGCTGCCCCAGCGCCGAGCCTGCGCTCGCTTCTCCTCCTCCTTCTCCGCCTCCTGCTGACGTCTCGCCCGCCGCCTGCAAAACTCCGGGTGGTGGCGGCGGCGGCGACGGACAGCGGCCGGGCGAGCAGGCGAGGCGAGCTGCGCTGCGCGATGGTGGCGGCGGCGGCGGCGGCCGGGGTGGCCTCGCCGTGCGCCCGCCGGCTGGCTCGGCGCTCGCACTCGGCGCTGCTGCTGGCGCTCACCGTCCTGCTGGTGCAAACGCTGCTGGTCTGGAATTTCAGCAGCCTCGACGCGGCCGATGAGCAGCAGCAGCAGCAGCAGCAGCAACGGCAGCCGCCTCCGCGGAGAGGCGCCCTCGCCGGCAGCCCCAGCAGCAGCCGGAGCGGCCACAGCAGCAGCAGCAGCCGGCGGCGGGAGAAGCGCGAGCTGGAGAGCCGCGACGGCCCCCGGGCGCCGCAACCCCGCCGCGCGGCCGGCGTTTTCCGCGGCAAGGCGATGGTGAGTCTCGGGCAAAAGGGCTGGTGGGGGGGGGGCGCCAGGCGGAAGCCGGGGAGGGCTCTTCCCAGGGATGGGGGAGTCCTGGGCTGCCCCCCACCCCACCCCGTCGCTCCTGCCCAGACCCGGGAGGATGAGGATGCTGACGCCCGGCGCAACCTTGTGAAAGGAAGGAGGGCGGGCTTCTCTAGCCGGATAGTAGTAGTAGTGGGGGGGGGTCTCCGGCTTGGCGACCTTGGCTCGGCCCCCTTGGGCCCACTGCGTTGGACGGGGCAGGGCCGAGGGGGCTGGCTCGACCGCTGGGCGAGAGGATTTCCAACATCTCCCCAAAGCACCGGGGGGGGGGCGGTCTAGGTGGTCCAAGGAGGGGACAGTGCAAGCCGGAGATTGCCGAGAGATGCTTACTTTGTTGGTACGGTAGCAAAGCACTTATTTGGGGGCCGGGGGGGGTGCTGCCTGCTTACCTTACCTACTTGCTGCTGAAGCTTCCTTAAAATGTTAGCAAACCAGCCTAACAGCGGGGAGAGAGGGTGGGGGAGAGAGAAACTGCTCTGTAATTAAGTCCGGAGCTCGATGGAATCTTGCTAAGGGGAGGAAAGATGTAGAATAACCTGTGTTCTTTTCACTTTCTCCTTTGCAAGCAGGCAAAGCACTTTTAACTCGGGACTTCGTCCCCATAAGCCCGTTTGTTTATTGAGCTAAGCTAGTGGTCTGGGTCCCATAGGCTACTCCTACTCCGGAGCCAATCCAGGCTAGGTTTATACAACCCCTTGGTGTAAGCTAGCTGGTTGTTTGTAGCCTGTCGGTTTGGTGTGAACCCTGTTCTTATTAACTCAAGGGCTACTCGCTTTCTGCAACTTACATTTGACCCCCTCTGTAGAGAGAGATGCCGGCTACTTCCCTGACACTTTGGTGGCCCTTAGAGGCATGCGTGGTTTTTTTTTTCCTGCCCTAAATTGCATCTATGACATTGGATTGCCGTGACTGCGTTGTAAAAAATAATTGCATTATTTTTTCCCTGGAAGAAATCCTGGTTTAAATCTGGAGGCAAACTAGAGGATTCGGCTACCGGTTGCCTGCCAGACATCAGGGAGCATTGAGAATTGGGCTCGATGTCGGTTTGCGTCTAGTTTTGGCACAATGTGCAGGAATGTGGGTGTCCGACGTAGAGAGTGAGTGACTCTCTTTTAGATCATTTTCTTGTCAAGACTGACGTCCAAGGACTCTCTTAAAATGATCTGCCTTGAGGATAGGTTTGAGGGGGTGGAACGCAGGTATGAACTTAATCGGGAGCCGCCTTTGAATTTTGGCACCATATCCTCGACTAGTGCTTAAAGATGTGTGGACTTCAACTCTCAGAACTCCCAGCCAGTATGTCCAGTATGCCCATAGGCCACGTTTAAGCTCTTGTGGTTCTCCTTTTTTGAAGAAAGGGATGGTACCATAGACCTGTTCCTTTGGGCATCTAGAACAGAGTTTCTGAGCCTCAGTAACTTATAGATGTGGGTGTCTATGGAGACTCTCAGTCACCCAGGTCATAGTTATCCCAAAGATGCTTTTCCACAAGGCAACTGGACTTCCTTGTTTTTCTTTGAAGACGCTTCGCTTCTCATCCAAGAAGCTTCTTCAACTCCGACTGGATGGTGGGGGAATGGAAGGATTTATGCTCCTTGCAGACAGCTGGTTATTTGCATCCTTTTAGCGAGTGGTTGATGCTACCTGGAGGCTTCTCTGTGTCTTGTTTCAGGGTCACCTGAGTAGTGGAAATGGGTGTGGAATTGCTGAAAGGACTGTGTTGTAGACTGGAGATAGATGATGTCATATCCCTTCCCCTCTGTTGAGAGAGGGCTGTCCAATTTTGACACAGATGGCCTCTTTGACCCCTCTTTCAAACCAGCGGTCCTCTCTGTCCAAAAACTGTCCCCAAAAGAGTGGCCTTTGTCTTTCAAATGCAGATGGACTGCTGAATCTTGTCCTGATGGGTTTGTTCTCCTGTGTTGAGCCATAACGCTTATGAAGTGGTTGTTTTTTTCCCCCCAGTGTATTGATCTGCATATGGCTCACTGCATTGTACTGCGTTAAAGTTGTGGGGTGCTGGCAGGGGAATTCTGGGAGCTGAGGTCCACGCGTCTTCCAAGTTGCCCAGGTTTTGAAACACTCTCCTAATGAGGTCATAGCATTGGGTGCTTCTGAATGGCACCCTGTCAAAGCTTCCTCATCCTTCGGCGAAGACCTTGGGCGCCTGAAAGAGGAAGCTATAGCTTCGGTTGAGATGAAAATGGCTCATCCAGGCAGTTCGTCCACTGTCTTGGATTCAGAAATTAACCGTACGCTTTCTTGCCTTCTGTTGCTGGTCCAATCCAATGCTGTAACATTCCTCTTCTCCTAATCCAGTGGTTCTCAACCTTTTTAATGCCGCGACCCCCAACCGGTTGTAAGTCGAAGACTATTCAACCGGTTGTAAGTCGAGGACTACTCAACTGGTGCAGCACCGTTGCAGAATGGGACTTTTGGTGGGCTCAGCAGTGCAGAAACAGCCTGGACAATTCCTATTGGCTTTTGAAAGCCAATAGAATTAGACTCTATTCAAGAGAGTCTCTTCTATTGGCTTTCAAAAGCCAATAGAATAAAAGGGAGTAGCACAGCTAAGGAAAAGGGGGGAAAAAATGGCGGACTGCGTTGTTTGGCGACCCCCGTGAAATGGTCGTTTGACCCCAAATGGGGTCCCGACCCACAGGTTGAGAACCACTGGCCTAATTGGTTTTTCCCATAATCCTGCTTTTAAAAAAGACCCTGGAAACCTCTTCTTCCCCCATCCCCAAAATCATTTTTCAGGACTCCCATCTGTCTTGCTCTCATTATTTTATTTTATTTTTTAAAAACAAGAATGATAAGAAGCACTTAATCCTTTCCAGTTGACTTCTATTTCCTGCAATCGAAGAAACTGTTTTAAATTTTCAGATAGAATGTCTGGTGGCTGCGAGCTGGGGCTACTTTGTCAGGAAAGCATTTCCAGCGTGTCTGAAAGAGGGAGTTAAAGATGCCGGAAAGGAAACCCTAATTGTGATAAATAACAGAGGCACATTTTTGCGGTGGTCCCAGGACTGGATCTCATTCCCATCCCTAGCCTTGATGTATGCAAACTGGTTCCTAGAATCATCATAGAGTCATAGGGCTGGAAGGGACTCAGAGGTCTTCTAGTCCAACCCCCTCAAGGCAAGAGACCTTATACAGTACCAGGGGTCTTCAAACGTGGCCCTTTTATGACTTGTGGACTTCAACTCCCAGAATTCCTCACACGTGCCTGGCTGAGGAATTCTGGGAGTTGAAGTCCACAAGTCATAAAAGAGCCACGTTTGAAGACTCTGGCCTTATACCATCCCAGTCAAATGGTTGTCCAGTCTATTTTGGAAAACCTCCAATGATGGAGCATCCATCACCCCAGCAGGCAAGCTATTCCATTGATTGATCGTTCTCATGGTCAGAACATGTCTCTTCCTAAGCTGCATCTCTCTTTGACAAGCTTCTACCCATTGTTTCTTCTCCTACCCTATGGTGCTTTGGAGAATAGGTCAATTCCTTCTTTTCGGTGACAGATCCTCAAGTACTGGAAGATAGCTACCAAGAAGGCAAGACAAGAAGCAACGGATGGAAACTAAAGAGAGAAGCAACCTAGAACTAAGGAGAAACATCTTGACAGTTAGAACAATTAACCAGTGGATCAACCTGCCTCCAGAAGCGGTGAATGCTCCAACACTAGAGGTTTTAAGAAGAGACTGGACAGCCATTTGTCTGAAATGGTATAGGGTCTCTTGCCTGAGCAGGGGGTTGGACTAGATGACCTCCAAGGTCCCTTCCAACTTTGTTGTTGTTGTTGTTACTCAACCCTAATCCTTCTCTTCGATAGGCTAGACCAGGGGTGTCAAACTCAATTTCATTGAGGGCCGCATCAGCATTGCGGTTGCCCGTGGGGGGGGTGGCCAGGGGGCGTGCAGCCTACTGGGTGGGCGTGGATGGAGTGGGTGTGGCCTACTGGGTGGGCATGGCCAGCTCTACATTTTTCGTATCAAGGGTGCCGGGGGGGGGCCTGGGCAGGAGTGGGACAGATCTGAGGATCTCTGGCAGAAGGGGGTGGGACCAGGGCAAGCGCCAAGGCATGGTCCATTTCTTCATTCCTCACAAAGGGTGACACCTCCCCAGCATGGACCCAAGGGGTGGGGCCAATGCAACAAGGGCAGGTTCCTCGCTGTTTCCAGATGGCCTTGTGGAGCTAAGACTGAATGTGTTTCAGCATTGATGGCCATCACAAAATTGTACATTGGCTCCTGGACGGCCAGGGCCAAGGCCAAGGCAGCAGGGGCCGTTCCCTCACTGTTTCCAGGATGGCTTCGTGGGCCACATGAAACCACTTTGCGGGCCACATATGGCCCCGGGGCCTTGTGTTTGACATGTCTGGGCTAGACATTCCTAGCCCCCTCAATCATTCATCCTATGATTTAGCCTCCAGACTCATTATTTACACTTAAGATAATACCTTCGCTTTGTTCTCCAAATGAGCATTATAGAGTCCCAAACTTGTCTGGAACATTTTTTGTGTGTGTATGGTCAGGTTTAAAAACAAAAACAACGTTTAACCATCCTGCCCTGAATCAGCGTCTGTTATCCTAACTGTTCTTAACGGCTTTCTCATGTTTGAGAGATCTTGTCTGCCGTTGAGTGCTGAGTAATCTCACAAGGCAGTTTTTGATCTCTGAAAAAAAAAAAGTGAGCCAGGCGACCCTTGGTTTTCCACAGTTGTTTTTTTTTTCCTGGCAACCCAGTGATGGAAACTTCGCTATTGATTTGAGTTTCTCCTCACCGTTGCAGAATGGCTATGCATTAGGCCAGCTGAAAAGGAACAAGGAAGAGAGGAGGTGATGGTGAGGAGCATTAAAGTGGCTTTCCCTTTTATTTTATTTTTTCTTTCTTTTTTTCCTCTTAGAAGTATTTAGAGGAAACATACA